AATAATAATTTGTCTATTTCGGACCATTAAAACATAACAATGTCATAAAATTATTATGTTATTATAATGTTAACGAATTATATTACTTTTTTACAGAATTAATTAAATATCAACTTTAAATTACAAGATAAAATGAAATGCTTTTCATGTGGGTTTCTTATTAATCTTAATAAAACCTACTCAATATTTGATAGGGATCATTTATCTGATTATATATATTTTGTTGGTATACAATAATTAACCGTAAAAACAATCAAAGCAGGTGTCAAATTAAAATGTTATAATGTTCTTTCTTTCCAGAAACAATGTCGAGAATTGAATTGTTTAACTGGATTTCAACTAATCAACTCTTCGTGTCGACCACTGTTAGAATCGATAGTTCGGCATGAATATGAGATATCACTGTATCTACAAGTTCAACCAACTGACAAATGTAATATAAGTAGCAGTAATCAAACGAACAGGAACATAATTGTGAATGTTGAAACTGTTTCTAATTCTATTGTCAATGATATTCTGCATGTGTTCGACAAAGCAACCAAATATATGATAAAAGAAAGTCAATATTACGTATCACCATGTGTACGATTTGAGGTAGATAACGAATTTAGGCATGTAAATTATGTTGATATCGTTGAAATGGACATGTTAAATATACAGTTCAATGTACGGATAATAAAGACTGAAAGCATAGGAATGGTACAGGAAGTTCTACTACATGCTTTAGAAAGAAACTTTGATATAATAGACATATTAGATATTCACGGAGTGCCACAAACATTTCAACTCTTTTCATCGAAGACAAACTTAAAAAGTAAAATAGAGTCATCAGACATGAGAGGATGTAAACATAAAAATGTTTTCGTTGACCACCGATATGATGATTTGCAATATACCAACTTCATTGTGGATGAATTCCTTAAATGCGGCCATGTAAAATTAAGTTTAAACGAGATATGTTTTGAAACGGGAACACAAAATGGAAAGCTGATAAATATAAATGCTACCTTTTCGGAGGGTGAATATAAAGTCATTGATGGCAACGTTATTATATGTGGATATTTGTACAGTCAAAGGACATTTATTGAACCAAAAGGGATTCTTGTTACCCGAATTGAAGTTATTAAGTCTATTTTTATTGTGTTTTCTATCGTTTGCACCCTAGTTTCTCTTGTGTGTTTATTTCTCACCTTTACCACGTATTGTTTCATTCCATCCCTTCGTACTGTAGCAGGGAAGAACATTATGGCTTTAAGTGTCTCTCTTTTCTTTGCACAGGCTTTGCTACAATTCGGTATCAATACTAAAGGAAGTCGTACGATATGTGCTGCTATAGGAATATTAGTCCATTTCTCATGGCTTGTTTCATTTTTTGCAATGAATGTCAGCTCTTTTCATACGTTCAAGGTTTTTTATAACAACAGCGCAAGCACAACATATCGAAACAATAGAAATCACGAAAGTCAATTATTCATAAAATACCTAATCTACATGCTATGTTTGCCAGGAATCTTGACGATTACAACAATTTCGATAAATTTAGTAAGATCTGATGCATCCGACATAGGGTATGGTGAATTTTATTGTTTTATTTCAGATTTCACTTTCTTCTTATTAACATTCATTTCACCAGCCTGCTTTATATTCCTTTCAAATATTGTATTTTTCTCACTTGCATTTCATAAAATACGATGTACACCTAAAGCGCATGGCACCAGAGAGCGTAATAACTTTTTTATTTGTCTAAAATTGTTTACTGTTGTCGGGATTGCATGGCCATTACTTATCATTGACAACGTGTTTGGGATAACTTGGTTTTCTTTTATTGTTGCCGGAATAAATTCGTTACAAGGCGTTTTTATATTTGTCGCATTCGTTTTAAATAGACAAGGTGTGACCGCACTGCTTTTATCTATTTTGGAAAAATCAAGAAAGCGAAGAAAAAGTGGGAATATAAGTAATAGTTTAAGCGGTCCTATAAGCAAAACACTAAAAACAGACATAGAAATCAAACATAAGGATGCCTTAAATATAAAATAGTAAAACGTCAAAAATGTTGTTAGATCCTACGAAAAATGTTTATCTTGGACAATTATTTAAACGATTTATGGCAATATAATCTGTTTACTATGTTGACTTTTATTCAACTAATAACTAATGGAACTAATTGCTGTACGAATATGGAACTATCTCAAGCAACTAGCAAAGTATCAGTAGAATACTTTTATTAAAATGTGTCTTCATGTTAATGATTGCTTCTTTTTGTCTTCTTTCTTTTATTGCAGTTTGTTTCATTAATTAAATTCTCACAAAAGGCTATTACATTTTCCATTTTTTGACATTGGGATTTGAACATTAGTTTTTAAACTTGTTTTTTTATGAATTTTCATCACAATGTATATATAAAACTAAAGCGTGGTTGTTTTTTTGACATTTTGCAGATTGTTTTCTTTTGATAGTCTAAATTTAAATGTATGTATATATGTTAGAATAAGAACTATTTCCTGTATTGTTACATAAGTAAAATAAATAAAACAAAGTTAAAGAAATAAATATAAACGTCTCATTGATAACATTTGTGTTATAAAAGCAGGCAACAACTTTCGATTCAGACGCACATAATACGGTATGTTATCATTTAAAATTAATTATGACCTCAACGAAGAAAGTTATCAAATCATATTTCATGACAATTTTGAAAAAATATCCCTCTGAAACTTTAAGCACAACCAAAATACATGAAAATAACAGAATTCGGTATATTGAGTTTATAAATAAGGAATCATGAAAACATGCAACATCCCTCACGCCCCCAGCACCGGCTGGAGCGGTAGTCAACTTTTAACACTTTCTGAGTTGAAATCAATGTGCCCCAAGGACAAGAAAATTAAAAGAGAGCCTTCGTTCAACTATATGTTTTGAAAACATCCGCTTTTTCATCAACAGAAGGCAATGCATGGAATATTGACGTTTATATCGTAATAGACCGGGTGCGTCAAAATTTACAGCGACCAATCATAAGATTTGAGTGCAGTCATTCCATCACTGTATGAATTAAATATCATGTACATATTTCTTCTTAGTAAGTTATTTCAAACAATGGTTCCTTATATAGATATTTGGTATTTTTCGACTCTCGGGTAGAGTTTTTGAATCATCTGACAAAGTCTGATAACAACCTTATTTTTTTTTATCTGGAACCGAATATTTCCGCCCGTAAAGGCGGGCGCTGTACAAATCTTATAAATAACGTTCTTTAAATCTATCATAACAATCATTGAATATTGTTTAATATTCAATATTTGTCTGATTTGATAGCGTCCAGAATTATATCTATCGAAAAGATCAAATATTATTCAAATAATAGGACTACGATTTAAGGGAATATCATATTATTAGCAAGGGAATTTGTAGATGATAAAGTGCGACCATTAATAAATCCTATCATATTTGTTCATCTATTGAACAAACACAAGCACGATCTATTATTTAAATGATAGTTTCCTAATGTAATTGAAAGGTTATATATTTACATATATAATTAAACGTTATTTGTAATCAGTTTGACGTAGCTATTTCACAAGTTTTACGCCAAGTCATTCTTGCATAATCAATAAAGCATATGCATATGGTCGATGCATATGTTTTAAAACAAATTTCATAGTATTTGGGTGTGAATGACATTAAACAAATGTAGTTTCAATACTTTTGTTTTTTTATTCAAAAATCTGGAGAAAGTATGATCCTTCTGAAGCATTAACCACAACAAAATAACGTTAAAATTGCAGAATCGGTTTGATTGAGTTTGTACACGCATAAATTCTCGCACACGTAAAGAGAATTGGTGCATAAAGGAAGCTATTCAAAACAACAATTCAAAATATAGATAGTATTTAATTTCATACATGACAACAAACGAGGAAACAGTATAATATGGATGTAGCTGGATGTAGCTGGTTAGTATGAGATATACGATTTGATATCACACATTTATTTAATACCGATTAAATTTGTTCTAGAACAACGATATTATAATTCATTATATAAATGTTCAAACAAAATCACATAGAACTCGATAAACATATGTGTTTAAGAAATACAATAAATTTTATAAAAAGATACATTTCTATTGATTTTATCAGTGGAATACTTACGGACAGAATGTGTACTATAGACCATTCCACTTTGAAAGATTGTGTCTGAAATCGGAAAAGCATCGTCACGATCACGAATAACGACCATCCTCCTTATAACTATTTGTAATCGGCTCCTAGACAAAGAGAGTAAGTTAAAGCCACAAAGCGAATTAAAGGGCAAATCGTCAAATTTGGAGTTACAAAATTATTTATGAAAACAACATTGCTTTATCACGAACCTATTAGGAACCCGTTTTCAGACAAGAAACTAAACTAAAGTAGATGCCAATATTCAGATGTTATCTAAAAAAATTCAAAGCTATGATGTAAAATAGAGAGAAATAAAGCTGAAGTCTACCGTAAATCAATTAGAATAAAACAACAGCCGGTCTTTTGTATTTCAGTTGTTTCTTTTAACAGCAATTTTATTCAATAGTTGAGTTATTGACAGAAATAGAGACATAATGTTTACGATGACGTGTTTAACGTTTGTGCAATGTAGGAGTTTAACATTATGATTATAAGAAAATTGAGACGATTTCATACAAAAGGAGCATGTGCCTGTATCGGAGTGCTTTTGCTGCTGACATCATTTCATATGGTAGTATCTTTTATTTCACTTTTGTAATTTTTTTGCGACAAGATGATTTAAGCTTTCGGCGCTTTAATTGTAATTACAAATATGTCAAAATGCTTTGATATGTGTGATAATGAATATCTGTTTTATCTTCGGTAATTTAATGTCTATTTTAAATTAAGGCAAGTCTATTGAATATGGTAGAAATATGTGCCTGAGTGGTTCAGTGTTGGTTACGTTAATTTTTATCTAGCCAAAAGGGCTGTGAGTTATTCTACCCAAATGCCAATAGGGTCTTTAATAGCATACAAGTGGGGTATTGAGATCGTAATTAACGTATAAGATGGTATGCCCGTATATAATCAATACTTTGGTGGTTTGAATTAAAATCCAATTTCAGATTAATAAAGTGTTGATTGTAACGGATGATAATGTTTTCTAGCGTTTGATTATACGACTTAACTAAAATACTTGTTGAAAAATAGTCTTAGAAAACAGTGATTGTTTCTGTATTTACATAACTGTTTCACATGTGATTAATATAACAATTTTCATTATTGTGTAAATTCAGTTCTAAAAAAAAAATATTTCTGAGACGATGCAATTGACTTAATATTATTTGCTGTTTAGAGCAATATTATATTAAAATGTTTTCACGGTTTATCTGTTACGGGATACTGTCAGTTTTTATGAAGTTTTAAAAGTTGTTTGATTGTGTGGTCACAATTTAATGATAATTTGTTCCAAATGAAAACAAAAATTAAAAGTAAATAGTTTTGTCTCATGGTACAAAAACTATCAACCTCTTTTTGTTCTTATTTCATATCTTCTTTATTATTTTTCAGCACAACTATCCTAATAAATCCGATTATAAAAATACGAAATTGCCCGAAAGCGTTTGCCGAAAGTACCACCCGCCTTCCTCGACAACTTTAACTGGCTTCATACAGCGACGTGAGAACAACCTGATATATTACTGTGACGTACCAAAATGTGGATCAGCTTTTATGAAAAACTTCTTTGCTGAAGCATTTTCGTGTAGAGATTGTTACTATAAGAAAGTAAACTTACCACATAAACGTAAACAGTACAAGTATGTTAAACACAAAATAGAAAACTCCACTTACTCTTTTATGTTTGTAAGAGAGCCGTATAGTCGTTTATTTTCAATCTTTGAAAACAAACTTTATCGGCCAAATGAACAGTGGGGGAAACTTGGGGTCGATGTGATCAAAGTAGTTCGTGAAAATGCAACAAAACTTTGCAAGCAGTACGGGTATGACGTAACATTTGTTGAACTTGTTAGATATCTAGTCACTCTATATGAAAAGAAAATTCCATTGAATATCCATCTGGTACCAATTCACAAGAGATGTAATCCTTGTAATACAAGATTTGACTTCATTGGAAAACAAGAATCCATGACAAGTGATTTGATAAAACTAGTAAGTCTATGGAAAAAGCGAGGTATAAATGTTGATTTTGAAAGCAGTGTCGATGTTAAAGAACTCGAGTTAAAGAGTAAGCGTGATTTTGGTGCGATTATGCATATGTTTACAATGCTATCTAGATTCCCTGACTTACCAAGACATTTGCTTTATCAACGACTATGGTCAAGTTATCAAATGAGGGGGTTGATTCTAAACAATCAAATCATGCCTTTTCGGCAGGATCTTGTTGATGATATAGACATGCTTATGTATGAACTTGCAATAAAAGATGCAATTGAGCAAAGTGCACACGAGTTTAATGTTCTGCAACAGCAACGAAAAGACGCTTTGATGAAAGCGTATAGAACTGTTCCTATGGATCTTTTACTTAGCTTGAGAAATGTTCTAAAGATTGATTGTGAATTATTTGGTTATGATGTTATGCCAGAATCTATTTTCAACAGAACTTACTCTTAAGGTTATATTAGCTGATAAGACATGACACTTCACTAAAATATGATAAAGCTCCAAAAGAGTAATTTTATAATATTAGTGATACAAGCAAAACAAAGATCTACTTGATATGTATTTTGAATGGCTCATTCTTTTCTACATATTTTTATGATAATTATGAATGACTGCTACACGTAGTCCTGATTCACCAGAATTATACCAAACAAAATGGTTACCTTTCTTTTTTTGAAACTAATTCAGCATATTAATTTTGACCAATCTAATTTATAAGAAAACATAAGTCAGATAGTTCACCTAATAACAATTTCCTCCATTAATTTCCTTTTACTGTACTTGTTTGTATTGGAGCGTTGATAAACGTTCTTTTTCATACGGCTCTTTATCCCAAAAAATCCAACCTTTCTGTTTGAAAAGAATAGCCGTGAAAAAAAGAAAAAGGAAGAACGAATGAAAAATTATTGAAATTATTAAGATTTTAGCTAACGTGGAACTTATATATTTATATTTCATTTTAATTCTTATTTAAGTGTTTTTTTTTATTTTGTTTTGTGAAATTTTGTCATTGCAGAAAGATTACATAAGCATGTCCTAACACAAATTATTCTTAAAAAAACTGATGATACCGTTCAGGTAATTACGATGACATTATCTTCTTGATCAAAATACATATAGAAGTCATCGTAAACCAAATGCAATCATTGTTTATTTCCATTTATTTTCAATAATTTGCGAAGGAAAGATGATACTTGACTTGGTTCTTTATTCAACAAAATAACACAAACGTCATCATATAATAAAACGTTCCAAAACAACATACAACAATTACTCATATTTGAAAACGCCACCTCGATTAGCATCAGAAACGACCAAAATTATTAAAGACAAAGAAGGAAAATCGTATCTGAAACTTCTCAAAATAATTTAGTAAACAATAAGTCTACTGATAGAGCAGTGAACAAAAAGATAATTTTCTAACTCATGAAAAGGCAGTAAAATTGAAACGTAGGGTGATTTCTTAGTAATAAAAAATGCTTCATTATTTTAAACTAGAGTCACTAATAAACATTAGTCTGCAATGTTGCCTTTTTGAGAAGTTTAATATCATCCAATTTCAGTTTGCCTTCTGACATAGCAGCGCAAGTTTTTTTTGCCAGTTACCCAGCTTTTATATGTACTTTATTTCTTTTCAATTCGATTATTCGATCTAAAAGCATAAATATTTAAGTGCTTAATAAAACTTGTAAAATTGACAAGGAAGAACTGAATGTAACAAGAGTTTTCATTGGTCATTTTGAAATGAAAAAAATGAAATCTGGGAATATTATTGGTCATCATAGAACAAAGTGTGACGATAGTTTTATCATTGTAAGAATGTCCTTAACTGAAATGCGAAGGGTAGTTCTTGCCATTAAAATAAAATGTAAAGGATTGTTCTAATATAATATGTACAGGATAGTTCTTTAACTTTTTAGTTAAATTGCTTAGATACAAAACATTTAACATTGCAATCCGATCTGATGACATTTTTTCAGTGAAACATTAGTATACGTAAACACGTACTAGGTTTATTTTACACACGATTTGAGTTTAACTTTAAAAAAAATAACGAGAAAAATATCAAAACGTAACAGGTACCCTAAGTTTTTAATGTTCAATAAGTGCCTAATATATTATTAATGTGTTCAATTGATATGATTTTAATAACTTCCTTATATTGTTGCCTATTAGTCAAGTATTTATATTTTGCCTAAGTAAGTGATAGAAATTGAGTTCACGTACCGTAACACGACTTTGTTTAGAGACACGTACATCTTACAGTGTTCTAATTTTCAAGATTCATAACCCTACAAGAAATTACTATGTCATATTTATTCAAGCTAACATTTCTATATGGCTTTGCATGAAAAATGAAGAGCTATCTTATGCAAGTTAACCCTTTACCTCATATATACGCTAAACAACGCCCTTTCGACCCCCCCTTTTTTAGGCCTCAAATAGTGAAAAAATGTCCTATTTGGGCCCCAAACACATTTTTTCGTTTGAGAAATGTTGCTTAAAAAATGAGCCCTTTTTTCGGCGCCGCTCCCCATAAAAAAGATACATCAGGGGGTTGCCAGAAGGGGGATGAAGGGGGGCAGAGTCCCCCTCATCGCCAAGAAAATTTTGGACTTGTGAGAGGCTAAAAATGACCCCAGGTTGGTCATAATGTAACGTGTAACCAACGCTGAAAAGCCTTTGACTCTATCTCAATCCCCTGAGAAGTTGCAGCACTTTGAAATAAATTTTGATGGAAAAAATCGTGGCAAAATAGTGATTTTTGGCAATTTTGAGATGACCCCTCGTTGCCATGGTAACAGGAAATTTAATACTGAGCATGTCGTTACAAAGGCAATGGTCCAGTCAACATTTGTGCCAAGTTTGATTAGTATTGAAGCATTTTTCATAGTTTCATAGCAGTTTGAACTTGTAACAGGAGGCTTTTCAGTGAAAACGGCCATTTTTCACAATATGCTCATGGGGGAAAGGGTTAACAAGTTTTATTTCGACCTTGTATCTTTTTAAAAGAAAGTTTTTTGTTTATATTTTTTGCAACGCCGTTATGCAGTGCATCACTGTTGTTATATATGGATCAAGAGAAATAAAGAAACCCGAAACTCATAATAAAAGATCTTAAAAACAAATGAAAAAGAATCAGTCAGTGAGGTTGGAACTCGCAAGTTGAGAAATCGGAGTCGACATTACCAATTCACCTCATGCTTTTGTCGTACATTTTTGACTTGACTTATGATAATCGTGAATGAAATATTAATGCATTTTCACAAAAAAATTCACTAACAAAATATCTAAAACGATAAAAACACCCCTAGCATCGTTTATTTGATATTGATGCGCACACACTATATTTGTTTCCGGATCTAAAATCAAGTAATTAAGAGCTTGAAATATGTATTGAACACAATTCATGTTATCCGTAACAATTCAAAATTACTATAAGATCTAGAAGAAAAAAAAATCACACTGATAAATTCTAGATCTAAATTCTATGTTCTATCGTGATTGAAAACTATTAGATCTGTATGGTTCTAAGTGATTCAAAAACCAAGTCTTCTACGTTTTTGCTAAGGTATTAATAAATATAAAGGTTGTCGAAAGTACATGGTGGCAGAAAAATGGAACCCACAACACAGTACTGCAAACATTTTAGGCTGCCACGGACAGAGTTCATTAAAAGCGCCATCATTATATCGTCATTATATCTTAAGGTCACAATCCTCAGTTGGAAAATAATCTAATTTAATTCGCTTAATCTATAACATACTGTTTGAATAGATATTGTGCGTGTGATATTTCAATCTTAGGAGAAAAAATATTACACTTTTGAATGTAAAATTAAGACATAGTTTGCACTTTCGTGTTTCATATATTTTGTGAATAGGAGATTTATTGTAAGTTTTGTCTTACGATCGCGACTTTTATTCGGTGAAAATGTCTACAGAAAACGTTTAAATCTTAAGAGTTAAAACTGGAGATAGAGGGCGTGGACGGCAGTTTGCACTTGACAGTACCTTTCACGAAAAGCGCAATCAAACTGAGTCTTCAGCCGTTTTAGACTTTGTTTTAGGATTCCTATTTTTCTCTATTTCAATGTTTTCACACACACACACACACACACACATATATATATTATATATATATATATATATATATATATATATATATATATATATATATATATATATATATATATATATATATATATATATATATATATATATATATATATATACGGCAGTTTGATAACGCCTTGTGCTTCACCTTTATACACCTCAAAGCAAGCTGCGTTAAAATATATTGTGCATTCATGCATTCACGCATTACAGCTATTTAACACTTGAAATCAATCAGTCCTAATTTACTAATTAAGTTGATAATAATTTCAATACCGGTTTAGAGACATCTGATAACATGCATTGATTCTGTTTTAAAGGTTTTGAACTTTTGGCATAAATACTTCAAGATTAACTGATAACACTCTATACCAGATATTTGAAACCAAACTGTTATTTATATTCTAATATTCTAAATTGTACTAAAATAATGGAAACTAAGGAAATTAAAAAATGCGTGATAATCAAGTGTATTATTGTTGGGATACTTAAAAGTGTTTGTTTGTATAAAGGTGCGGTGGTATTTGACCTATATTGACTCTCATACGTATTATTTGTGTACTATTTAAGTACAATGTTAAGAACTTTTAAATGATTTTAAAACAAAGAAATCCTATAATACATATAAGCAAAAGATAAACCGTTAGCTCAATAGGTAGAGTGTTTGTCTGTGACTTTAAAGTATTTAATTAATACATAAAATTAATGCTTGTTAAGTACTGTAATCTCATTGAAGTGAGAACATATTAATAAATCAAATGCTGACAATTAAGTGATTTACTGTAGGTTGTACCGTAAACATTAATTGTATAACATATTTAATATTAATGGCTATAATATAACGTTGTATACATTTTCAGGGTATAATCATTCAGACCTTCATTCTGGGTTAACGTTCTACAGTTTTCTATTTGACATATTGTCTATCGTGCTTTCATGCAATAAATGTATAGAGAGAGAAATGACACCGCCACAGAAAGGAATAATACCAGTTTCTTTAAGTTTGCCTGGAGGTAAGATCTCATGTGTTTTTGTCCCCTCTTTGATTAATAACACCCTTGAATATTTTTTTTAATTTTCTTATGGTGTGTAGGATACTATAACGCTAACATCTTTAAAAATCTACGTTGGTTTAATGATTTGACACATAAGTCAAAATCATTTTTACTATAGTAAGTGACTGTTTCTATTATTTCTAAGCAAAAAGCCGAAAAGAAGAAATGTTTTACTGACATTAAAACCGTTTCTTCTTTTACAGTTGTGACGAAGGCTATAGCAACATTTACTACATATTACAAAAGGATAGAAGAAATCAAAATGATGTGCTCCCTTTGTTTAGTGATAGAAGTTTTCTTGGTATGTTCAAGTTAATATTTTTTTGCTTTCTGCACATTTTGTACTCATTTAAGAGGATGTGTACATCATTTAGGGATGTTTATGTTTCAGTGCATTTTAGTATGTATTTCTGAAATGGTTTCCGAGTTAATCTTTATCCTTAACATTTTCCTTTTTAAACCTGAAGAAAGATAAAGCATTTCATTACACCCTCACAAACAAATTTAAGAGGGTATATGGGAGACATGTCGGTAGGTTGGTAACAAGAGTTAGAAATGAGTTTAAAATCAAACTTTGTAAATAGCAACCTTATGTGGAAACCTTAGTTGGGAATGCCTTAGAACCTCTGGGGTCCAGGTCAAGGTCACTGTAACTAAAATAGGAAAAAATATAACTCCGCATAATTACAATATTTAGGAATGAGATATTGTAATGAAACTTGGTATATAGCAAGGTTAAAGGAAGACCCCACTTGGGATTTGTTTTGGACCCCATGGTGTCAAGGTCAAGGTCTCTGTTTCAAAACATAAAACAGGTATCCGAATTATAGAGTTAATAATGACATATTGCAATTAAACTTTTTATATAACAAGCTTGTGTGGAGACATAGCTTGGGATTGCTTTTTGCCCTCCAATGTCAAGGTCTATGTCAGTACTACTGTTGGAATTAGACAAATTATATGCTGACGATAAACAGAGTAAGCAATGAGATATTGTTATAAATCTTTAGCAAGTTTATGAAGAGACTTAGCTGAGTATTGTTGTTAGACAACATAGGCTCAAGATCAAGGTCGCTGTCACTAAAAAATGACAAATGGTTTCTTAAAGATAGGCAATATATTGCTTAAGTTATTTGTTCACAGATGAAACATCATAAAATAAAGGTTAAGTTAAAATTTTACTTCAGACTCCGTTCTATTCAGAAAAGTTAGGTGGATGATGATAGTATGACCTTAGTGACAGTTTTAGTTGTGACGTACTGCAAAAACATCGTAATATTCAAAGGCGTTATGAATTTTTTTTTTAAATAATAACCAGTTTGTTTTCGAAATAATCAGCTTAAAAAACCAACAACAATAAAAACAAATATTTGATATAGGATGTGTTTGTGACATTGCAATGACAAAAAATTATTTACATGTTTCAAGGTTGCCCTTTTGACCTGCTGTTGCCTTTGTAACTTAGACGAAGCAATACAAACGCGATCAAAATTGAAGCAGACTGCATGAACAACGAATAGACCCTGGAACATCTCAATATTTGAAAACATATACATGTGTTATATTGCATAGTTTGAACATTTAAAATGCTCATGTTTTCTAATGTTTTAGGATATTTGTGTTATTTTTCTATGTCCATATCTTTTTTATCTTCGTAACAATTTCATATAAGAAATTATGGCTCAAAGTGACTTTGAACATTTATATTGTAAAAAGTAGTTCGATACACAATTTAGGAATACTACAATAATTGTTATAAATATTCATTATTTTGTTTTATGTTTACTTCATCTTTTGTTGAGGTCTTAAAATAAATTTAAAATTGATTGTTTATATAGTTGGTGTACACATGACCGGTTATACTTTCCATTGAACACACGTTTACATCTCTGTGAAGATTTTCCGCATATTTCCTTATTAGACCTTGCATTATTTAATTCAGATCGCCTTGTGATGTAGAAGAAGAAACAGTTGTTGGTACTCCTTTTTTATTACTTTATTTTGTTTTGCAGCACATAAAGAACAATACTTTGACTGAAATATGTTATTTGTGTTTTAGTTTCTTTTATTTCTTGTCATCGGTTTAACAACGCCTTTCATTTTAGTTATATAGCGTCGAGCATTAACTGCTACCTTCTCCATTTAAATCAATGTGAAGTGCATAAAATTACATGCAAAATGTTTTCATATAAGAGTAAAATGAGGAACTTATATCTTGTCCAAGGGTCAAGCTAAAGAACACGTTTATGGTTGAACTTTACTTACTAAGCTAAACTGGGTGAGCTTAACTTCTTCAGTTTTAAAAACAGTTAATAAAATGTAACAGAAATGGAAGTATACATACATTATCACAAAATTTAAGTAAAGAATAAAAGTTAAAATCCCACTTAGCTAAGCGTGTTTCGAAACAGCACCCAGTGCCCCAAATTATTCACATTTTTTCATATCGTCTTCAATTCCTCAAAGGTCAATTAAATTATGATCATTTCCCAGTAAAATAATTAAACTAATATTTCATTTTCTACTGAAACAATGTAAAATGAACTATGACATGACATTTCAAACATCGTGGTTAAATGACGTAATTTTAGAAACGTTACGTCAGTTTTAACGCCAGTATTTCTTAATGTCAGATATGGCGCGTGTTTCTTAATCAGCAATGTGCATTTCTTTCAGGAAATAATTTTTTTGATCTATGATTTTTTTGACGTAAGCCATTAAGCTTTTAATCGACGTAAAATCTGATTTTAGTTTATACAAATTTATTTTACTTCGATAGTGTTGAAAGCTATAAGCTTATTGAAACACTTTTGAATTCGTTCCTGGAACCAACCAGTACTAAGCGATAAATGTAAAGTTTCTTGCTCAAGGAAATAACGACTTGCCCCTGACAGGGTTTGAACAAACGCGGTCAGCAATCCTTAAATTCCTAGTCCGACGCGTTAACCACTTGGTCACGCCGCCACTATTACCTGTTATTATAGACATGTCAATTGCATACTGATAATATGGTCAGACCATATTAAAACATCGGCGTTTATTGTATAATCAAAGAACATAATACATTGCAATATCTCTTTTTTTCTATAAAGATATATGTTATGCAACATGGTCATGTAGGATTGGTTCGTTTTTGTTTTTTTTTGGCCCTTTCGTTTTTGACTATTCGTTCTACTTTGATAACACCCTCAGACAGACACATTAAAACCATTTCATCAAAGTTCATGTCTGAAGTAAACAAAGTTTGAATTTTACTGTTCAAATTAACTTGTACCATAAATTTGGCTATACAACGATTTATATACTATTGCGATGGACGATTTGATTAAAACTTTTAATGTTAATCCTAATATATATATTTAATGTTGTTTTTATCTTTATCATTATGATATTTTAAAATGATAACCAAAAAGAGAGAAATTACAAAAACAGATGTTAAAAAACTTTAGAATCGAACTTGTAACCCTAATCCAACGCCCACTTAGCTACTGTTTCCAACATTACTTTTGCGTAATGTTAAGATTTGAAGTGTATATTTTATTTTGGCAATATTTGGCGTTGTTATCTTTGATTGTAAGGATCTAACACGAGGCAACCGGTACAATATATCATATTAATCTTATTCCGGGAAGAAATTACAAAAGAATAATTTTCATTTAGCACTCTTTTCTTTTTATTGCGTATGCATTTATATCCTGATTCATTTCGGACAAACACTTGATTTATTGTTCTTGAAACAGGAAACACTTTTGTGGCTTACTTACTTAAAACAATTAAACAATAATTACATTTATTGTTTTGATTGTTATCTTATTTTCAGTGTCAAGATATTTTCCAAGTATTTCTCTTTTTCTTCAGTAACATGTCGTGACTGATATATATATATATATATCAATCAGAATAAACACTTTCATATAAAAGAATAGGGAAGATATCACATCACGTGAATATCATTGTTTAACATAACGGACACTCAAAATAAGAGGATATTATCAAGAAGCAATTGATCTGATTAATGGGTGTGTGAGTAAGAGGCTTTAAGTTGTTGGAATATCGTCCTGCTTTATATAAAGTTAAGAAAAAACAAAAAATCCGAAATATTTTTTCTTGTTTCATAATTGCTGTAAGAGTCGCTTATTGAAAATGCCAGTTAAGGTCACATGGTGACTCTGAGTATATGGGATCTTAAAGTGGTCGGAAGAAGTGGGAAACGGATTTAAATCAGGTAAATACCAAATGAAAATTGAGCGATTCTAAATGGGCTAATTTCAGTAAAAAGTAAAATTGAAGCTACATGTTTATACGTGTTGAATGACCACCAGAAATAGAATATTGAGAGAAAGAAATCATAAGACATAATTTCATAATTATCTTCATATAACATCATTTAAAATAATGATATTGTTAAAGTAGTATACTTCAAGACCGATGTTTATACTTTTATAATGATTCGGAACATATACGAGTATTTAAGTAAATTTTTGTGAAGTGAACAAAGGAAGTAATTTGCACATTTCGCAGTAATATCGTACAATAATTATTTCTGAAAATATTATTTCGTGAATCGAGACTCGTGGATTAATGCTGCATGCCTCCAGATGATCCAAAATATTTCAGGAAAATCAAACTTGAAAAAATTGTACGGAGATTTTAAGAAAAGTAAAATGATTTGAGATAAAATTAATGATGTCTATGTACATTTACATTGGTTGTTAGTGCCTTTTACAATGTGTAAAATATTTTCTATGTAAATTTCACAATATTTTACTTTTTATATTCTTTCAAATTGTTCATGAAATAAGCAAACGCCCTGTGCGCTGGTGTAAGGAAACGATGTCATAATAACTTTAAATATTAGGTATGTTTATATATGTCTTAGAAATAAGATGACTCTTGAATGTGTACAGAAAATGATTTTTCTTTTTTTTATTTATTTCTGTTAACATAATTGTCGGTATTTTGTTGACGTTCATTATCTGAGTATGTAATCAAAGCCAGGCTACTTTCCCAAATTTTGATTCTTTTGGAGCGGTATCATTTCTGACACAGGCACGAGTATTGGATATGAGTAGGAAAAATATGACCAGATAGATGAAAAACCCTGTGTTCAATGTGTCAAACATCAGAACATAAAAAATATATACTATAAGTAAAGAGAATGCAGGAAAGTCCAGATTCGAGCCTACAAGCAAGGGGTTCATTTCCCTGGCTGTAAAAACAATTGTCTAGACAATTAAAAAACATTGATTCACGTTTTGTAATAAGCTTTCAAATGAGATCGACCCTAAGTTTCCAGCCTTCCTGTTCATGAAATATTTTTATTTGGACATGATGGCATTCATGCTAAAGTCAAGTTTCTTTTATATAAACAGAACACAAATATGGAAGAATAGATATATGGAAACGTTATGTTGAAAAAACACAAATTTTATTTGATTTTTTTTTACATAAATATTGTGACGACATGATGTGATGAAGTTATGATAGAGAGTATTATACTGTTAACTCTGTCCTAGAATTTTATAAATCTATAGTTTTGTACCATGCCATGTGTTCGATTTCACTGCCAGTATGTTCATTCTGTACAAAATTTATTTATCTTTGTTACTGAATCACTTATATCCTATAATGTTTTATTTTATTCGATAGAAAATCTAACAATTGCAATCATTTGTTTCTTCTAATACATCGTCTGACAGTTTCCGAACTAGCAGACAAAAAACTATTTTTATCAGTAGAATTGCGAGTAGCTTATATCACTGTATAAAAGGTATGTAAAATGGCCTGACTTGCGAAAGGTTTAACCGTTAATTTAAATACCTTTAGTATCAAACAACAATTTGTTGATATATATACTGAGACGAAGCTTAGAACACAAGCTTTTCATTAGTGTAATTAATTAAAAAAATCAGACATCACCGTGTATATCCAGTAACGCCGGAATATGAAAATAACGCACGATTCGTGCAATAAGTAACGTAGAATTGTGCAATAAATGGAGGATACCTGACAGGATAACCAACGCGGTAAGTAAACTGGACAATAATTTTTTTTATTTAACCAAATTTAAAAAAGAAATAGCTGCATATGGCTGCGAAGAAATTACTCTTTATCCCTTATCAAGATAATTATTACGAAATTGCTTACTTTTCAAGATTATTCGTGCAAATGATGGCTTGACCACTGCTTTGAGCGATAATTTTTCATTTTGTCAACTTTTATACGTACAACAATGCATATTATACCGTATAATTTCGCTTTTTGGTAGGCAAGTGACATTCATTAAATTTCTGGTGATAAAGAAAATTGAAAATAATCTGATGAAAAGTGATTCAATTCGGTTTTATGAGGTAACGCCGATGTACGCAAATAGTGATCGGCGGAAAAATGTGATTTTTTTCATACATAGTACTGAATTATTACATGTACACAGGTTAAACGCCATAAATCGGCGAGTAAAAGCACTTTTCAAATACATGTACACTGAACAAAAGTTCTAACCGATCACCCTGAGTTTTCGCTTATATATGAAAAAGAATAATACCAATAGATCCGACTTTTATTTTATTTCGAAAAGAATGAACATATTGAGAATAATAAAATTATAACATTTTCTATTTAGATAATACTTTATCGATATTTTTAAAGAAATATTTTTATGAACACCCACTCACCTATCTGATAGAGGCTACAGCATTCAACATTCCAACTGCTACGGCAAGATCCTGCATCGACATTCGTGCCATGTTTTATTTTTTTTCACTTATAAAGTTAACAAGGATTTATGCAATGTAAAATTTAATACTCACCACGCTCTGCACGAACATTTCGTGCCAAAATGTGTAAACCGCGCCCTGTCTCCCGCGTGAGTGCATGGAACCGTATTTAATTATTTTTCTTTCCACAAATCAGTAGAAAATGACACAAAAATTACCTCTGCAAAATTTTATAAGGATCTATTGACCCGTTATAAAATAATCAAAATTTAAAAAGTGATCGGTTAGAACTTTTGTTAA